ATTTATTGACTGTCAAGATTATTCAAAGTACCTAGATGAGACTGTTATACGTGTCAGCAGTTGTTATCTGGGAATAAGTGCCTTTAAATGTGTTGACTGATCAGATAGAATAAAGTCATGAATAAATAAATAAATAATTACATCTAATAGTTAATTTGTTACGTTAAATATATGCTTTACTTAAAGTTTAAAATAATTATTAGCAATTATTTTATCAGAAATCAGTACAATTGCAAAAAAAAACATAGAAATATAACCTAAAATAATTGTTTTTATTTTAATATATTTTAAACCGCTTTTTTGTGTGATGCAAAATCCTCACTCTGGTCTGGAATATCTCGTCAACCTTCAGAAATCATTCCATAATTGTTAGTTGATGTTAAAGGTACGCTTATCGATATCGTAACGTTATGTTGTACAGTTTTTGAAGTGAGCTATAATAACTTTCAAACGTCTGGGATAAGATTTTGTTATAGTTAATAACAGTGTAGTTTTATTTATCTGTAATACATGAAATCAATCAAACTAGCCGTAAATAGATTTTATTCATTTCTATTTTAATGAAATGTTCTTTTAAATGTTGTATTCGTTAGCTGACCCTGAAAATATTAGAAATAATAGTTTTTTTTTATCTAAAATTCAACATTGCAAATAAAATACTATTCTATAATACTATAGTATAAATATCAGTTTAATAACACGTGAAACCTGCATAATTTAACCGAAACCTGTATTATTCACGAGCGTGTGTTATTTTCCAAGCTTTAATGCGTATAAAAAAACTTTTGAAAATATATAAGCAGTTGTGTATACTGTATCAAATAAATATGTTATACACGTTTGTAATTATTTAACCATATGCTCAACTTTATTACGCTTACTGTTGCTGGCAGCCGCAAAATGAGGTGACAGGATCGGATGGCAGTTCATCGTTTCCAAACGGGCGCTGTACATCGCTCCTCAGAGCGTTTTTTAACTGTGGAAGTAGGCCGGTTTTATCTCTGGGTCAGCATTAACAGGACCTCCATGAGTTTGGGAAACAGCCACGATTGTGAGATCCAGCAGAAGACATCCAGACTCGTGACAGATCGTACTGTACTATTCCAGCCAAACCGATTTCGCTGCCAAAGGCCTGTATTTACATCTGAAATATACAAGATGATGAGAGAGAACCCAGGGGGAGATCTGACGTTACAGAGGCCCGCTCGCTTCGCTTATGCTTGTAAAAGATGTTCGCAGCGTTGGTGAATGTTATACAACAACGACCGGCGACCTTCTTGCTGTGAGGCGATCGTGCTACCCACTGCGCCACTGCGACGTCCATATATCGAAATACTGATAATTATAACAATTACAGCAATATTAATAAAAAAGTGTAGATTATTTAAATTAGACACGTGCATTTACAAAAATGCGCATTTTCATGACATGTTTTGTCTCTCTCTCTCTCTCTCTCTCGTGCAGGAATGAGAGTGTTGGAGCGAAGGCTGAATTTGCCGTGGACATACATGTGACGTATCTGGACATACAGGCCAGACAGGAGGTGATCCCGTTACTCAAGGGAAGCAGAAACACAGCAGTGTGAGTTCAGCAAGCAAACATTGCCTAATGCATTTGGAGCTATCCTATAATAGTTTTCTGTGTGAAGTTTGCATGTTCTCCTTGTAATTGGTGTGGGTTTCCTGCAGGTGCTCCGGTTTTCCCCACAGTCCAGAGGCATGCGCTAAAGGTGAAGTGTATAAACTGAAAGGTGTTAATCTTTAAAGTAAAGGATTAGTGTTGTGCTGCTGTCATGTGATGTTTTTGAGGCTATATATATATACACACAGTTGAAGTCAGAATGATTAGCCCCCCGTAATTATTAGACCACTTGTTTATTTTTTTCCCCAATTTCTTTTTAACAGAGAAGATTTTTTCAGCACATTTCTAAACGTAATAGTTTTAATAGCTTATTATAAATAATTGATTTACTTTATTTTTGCCATGATGACAGTAAATAATACTTGACTTGATATTTTTCAAGACACCTATACAGCTTAAAGTGACATTTAAAGGCTTAACTAGGTTAATTAGGGGAACTAGGCAGGTCAGGGTAATTAGGCAAGTTATTGTATAACGATGGTTTGTTTTGTAGATTATGGAGAAAAAATGTAGCTTAAAGGGGCTAATAATATCGTCCCTAAATTGGTATTTAAAAAATGAAAAAACGGCTTTTACTCTAGCCGAAATGAAACAAATAAGACTTTTTCCAGAAGAAAAAATATTATCAGACATACTGTGAAAAATGTTCTTGCTTTGTTAAACATCATTTGGAAAATATTTTAAAAAGAAGAAAAAAATTTGAAGGGGGCTAATAATTCTGACTTCAACTGTGTATATATATATATATAGTGAAAACCCAAAACATAGACATAAGGGGTTTATAAACTGTAGGAAATTTAAAAAAAAACAGATGAACATAATTAACTAATAATGGGTTAACAAGGAGGGTGGGACAAGACAATAGACGGGAGAGCGCATGACACAGAGAGACAACACAAGCCATGTGCTCACATGACAAGAACATGCGGCCAATGAGAGAACTCATCAACCGCATGTTCATGACAAGACGAGCACAACACTGAAGCACACGACAAAAAGCACGTGACCACAATGTAAACATCGGGCCACGTGCTTTGACAAAAGACGCAAGACACAAGCACACGATAGATGAACACCTTACCGTGCGCTCACACATAAGCAACGCGCATGCTTCATCTCAGCGCCAACCAAAACTGAAACCAACTAGACGGAGGCGCCGAGAATAAAGCAGCGCGCTGCTGACAGAACAAACACAAACACTAGTACAAGACAGAACACAGAGACAGAAACAGGACCGGACATGGGTAGTGTCAGAGCTCTGCTACCAAAACAAGAATTTACAAAGACCAGAGTGGCAGAACCCTGAAAGAAGCTTGGTTATGGATGTGACATCTCTCCTTTATGGATGTGACTGATGTGAAATTCTGAGACTTTTGTAAATCAAATCGAATAAATTGACAGATGCATTTTTGAATATTTGTAAAGCACTGTAAAATAGTGGCTTACCCAAAAAACCCATAAACGATTTCCGTATTTTGGCGAAAACGCCATTTTTTAATGGCAAGGTTGACATTTGCATGGAATTGCTCATATATAAATGATTTATTTATGTATGGGTGTTGCATGGCTTTCGAAGTAAAAACAATAGTGGATAAGAAAGCGATTTGTAGAAGGAAAAATGAAACGTCGGCATTGTTAAAAGATGTATTTTTTTATTCTTTTTTTTTTTTTTTTTTTTTTTTTTTTGTAGGCATGTAATTGAAAGGTTGAGATGATAAATTGTGCTTGTTCCCACTGCTGATGAACGTGGAGGTTTATGGAATGTGCTAAATAACCAAAAAGGCTCAGTGAGATATTCAGCACGTTCATAAATAGAAATGGAAATACACAAGAGTTTTTGGTTGCATTTTGCATGTACATTGAATGTAATATAGCGCATTGTTGTAATTGGATGTTTGTGAAGTAATGGCAGATGCTTGGTTATGTTGGTGGCGTCAGTGCTTTCTAACATTGATTGTAGTTTATAGCAGCATGAATTTAGCAAGAATGTGCTAAATAACCAAAAAGGCTCAGTGAGATATTCAGCACGTTCATAAATAGAAATGGAAATACACAAGAGTTTTTGGTTGCATTTTGCATGTACATTGAATGTAATATAGCGCATTGTTGTAATTGGATGTTTGTGAAGTAATGGCAGATGCTTGGTTATGTTGGTGGCGTCAGTGCTTTCTAACATTGATTGTAGTTTATAGCAGCATGAGAAGTATTTGCCATAGTTATTTAGTAACAGTTGTGCGCGTATGTTGTGGTCCAGCTGTAAAGAAATGTCAAGATTATCATAGAAGGTGCTAGACGGCGCGCAAGGCTGAGGCAGAGTAGCAAGAGAAGAAAAGGAGGAGTAGCAGTTTATATAGCGTGTGTTCAGTAAGTAGCATTCGGTTGATGATGCATGCGATTTGGTTGTCGGAAAGGTTTTCGGTTGTGTATATATGTATGTATGTATATATTCTTAGTTGTATGTATGTATGTATGTATGGAGTGGTCTGAAGTGTAATTGAACGGAAATAGCGAGTGGTGAAGGTGTATGTTTAATTAGGTCCAAAAACAGGCAGGTAAAAGTAGGTGAGGTTGTTTGCAGGCATAAGTGTATTGTCTGTGTGTTTTTGGTGATTTGTTAATCGAGCTGAAATGTGAAGCTTATGTCTTGCAGTACTGTAGATGTAGAGCTGTAGTTGAGGAGCAGCGTGATAAGGCCATGTTCTGTACGCGCAATAAAGTGATTATTGCATGCGTGTTACGGCTTGGCGTATTTATGACCGACTGTACGTGAGTGAGAGCGTTCGGTATGTAAAGTGTTTTGTTGACAAGTGCTGTTTGTTGATGTGCAACGATGAGCGTGTAATAGTGATGGAGAATAAAAGTGTTTTGATGGAAGCGGTGCAGCGGTTTGGAGTTATTTGAGCTGTAATCAAGAATTAATCAGAGCAGTCTGTGGGGGTGGAGTTAGAGCCTTTATTCCAAACAGTAGCTGCTGCGATTGGTCGATGGTGGCCGGAGGTGTGAGCAAGAGCTAATGTGGTGTAATTAAGGAGTAGCGATCAGCTGCGTTTTCGGAAGAGGAAGTGGCGTGTGTCCAGTTAGCCATCAGTGTAGAAGTATAAAAGAGGAGCTGAGTGTTCATCCATGCTAGTGTGAAGACATGAGAGAATTAGAGTAAATCTTGAGTAAAATCTAGACATATATAAAAAAAACATACAAATATAATAAAAAAGACAGAAATTCAGTAAACAGTAGTAAAAAATAAAAATAATATATATATATATATATACGTATATATAATTAAATAAAAAACAAATAATACATCATATCATTCAATATAACATATTAATAAAAATAATAATGAACATTTTAGGATAAAAGAGTAATAAAAGCTGAAATAATCAGATTTTACAATGATTCATTTATGATAATGTAGGTGTGCGCGCGTGCCTGTTTGCAAGCGCATCACTGATGTTTTTTTGGGTGTCCTCTCTCTCTCTCTTTGACAGATGTTAATGTGTTGTGCCGCTAGGAGGACACAATTAGTTTTTTCCCCCAGTAAATATTGAAGCCGTGTTGTATTGCCTGAATTGTGGGTAAATGCTCCGGAGTTTGGGGTAGAATGTTTCTCTGATGCGCTGATCAGTTCGTGCAGCGGGTGAGGAAGCGTTCCTCCGTCTCCACCACTGCCTGGACAGACGGCGAGCACTCAGCCTGCATTCGGTCATTGTTGTTTTGAATCTACTGTCCTTTACTGAACTCAGACATGTTGCTGTGGTATAATCTGCGTTTAGCTGTAAATAACATTGAATTTTACTTTGTTTTCCTGCTCTCTCTCTCTCTCTCTCTCTCTCTCTCTCTCGTGCAGGAATTACAGTCTTAGAGCGAAGGCCGGATTCACCTTGTGACATACATGTGACGTATCCGGACATACAGGCCAAACAAGAGGTGATGGCGTTACTCGAGGGAAGCAGAAACGCAGCAGTGTGAGTTCAGCAAGCAAACGTTGACTGAGTTGTAGAACTTTTCAGATAAACACACAGCTGAAGTAGTTCTGTCAGGTTCCGAGCGCGCTACAGCTTCGTACCACCACGTCCATACGGTTAAGCAATTGAACCGAGTGAACGCGCCGAGTCGAGCGGTTACATCGGTTGGTAAAAATAGGAAATTTAAATATTTGTAGGTGGCTCAGTGGTCAGCACATTGACCTCACAGCAAGAAGGTCACTGGTTCGAGTCTCGGCTAGGCCAGTTGTCTTTTCTGTGTGAGGTTTGCATGTTCTCCCGATGTTGCTGCGGGTTTCCTCAGGGTGCTCCGCTATCCCCCGCAGTCCAGAGACATGCGCTACAGGTGAATTAGAAAAAGTAAAAATTGAAAAATTGTGTGTGGGTGTTTCCCATTACTGGGTTGCAGGTGGAAGAGCATCTGCTGCGTAAAAGATATGTTGGATTAGTTGGCGGTTCATTCAGCTGAGGTGTATAGAGAGGGGGAGAGCGTATAATAACGCTCGCGTGTCGTGTTGTGTGTGTGCACAGGCACAGCTGAGCGACTCGAACGCCGAACCGATCGATCGGGTAACGGAGACTTTCTTTCGTTAACATGAGAAGCGCTAGAGTGGCCGTAGCAGACAGTCGATCTGAACGTTCGGCAGATCTTGTTGGCGTTTAAAGCTTTTGTTGAGCTTTGAGAACGAAGCCGACGTCGTATTCGCTGATCTTTCCTGCTGCGTTTAATTGCGTAAGGCGGGGATTCCCAAACTTTTACGTTCCGGGACCCACCTAGGCGAGTGATTCAATCTCAAGACCCACCGTAAGATTTTAATATGGAAAAATGAGTAAAAAAAAATGTCTCCGTTCAAAGCAGTCAAAAATATATGGTGGATTTTTTGGATTTTGCGATTTGATATGCACAAAATGAGGCTCGGAGTGCTTTTTGCGGGATGCCGGCTGTAACTGTGATCATTTTTCTGTTGAAAAGACGCTGTTCTTTTTTTTCAGAAGAGAATACGATCGGCCTTTGATCGAGCCCCTGGATTACGATCGAGCCCCGTCACGTCGCAGTAAATTCCACTGCCGGTGTGTATCGTCATAAGAAACGAAATAGCTTTTTGATCGACTACTACAAGCTGGGAAAACGTCAGATAAATACGGCAAAGCAATCAACGTTATAGCTGAATAGATCTAACAGTTACACATTTGCTCGAGGAAGGAATGACGGGGGTAGTTAAATTACTGTTACTATTTTCCATAACATATATGCCCTTCCGTAACATTAGCTGACGTTAAAACTAACAGATAGCACTATAGCTATTTATCGATTAGCAATCGGTCAACGTTGGGATGTAAAAAAATATGGGACAACACATAGCTTCAAATGATAGAATACATAGCAAACGTTAGAAAATATTGACAATAAAATAAAAGGTTTAGCCCATTAAAATAAATGGTCAAACTTTTCTGACGGTCCCTTACTGAGAGCTCGGCTCTGCGCGAGCTCTCCCGGCTAAACGCAGATTGCGAGGGCTCAAGCGGAGCAGCGCTCGTAATGTGGAGCGAAAAAAAAAACTCACTTAAGATCTTGTTAGGGTAAGAGGTTTTTGAGTTATTGCCGTCGATCGTACTGGTTTTGATTCGCCGCAACGTAAATACAGCTGCGGTCAGCTACGTGACGTCATGCGACCCACCTTTGTTCACCGTGCGACCCACAGTTCGAAAACCCCCGGTGTAAGAGATCCGTCGGACCCGGAAGGTGTGTGTGAGCTCAAACAAAAGTGTCATGTGGGGATATTTTTGGCATCGTTCGCAAACGTTTTGGGTGAAATTCATGGATTTTTAATGGGCAAATTGTAAGAATACGGTTCGATGTTAAACACCCGTGAAGTAATATATTTGACGCGTATCCAAAGATTTTATTTTGAATACGAGCAATGGCGATTGATGTTTGCGCGGCACTAAAAACTGAAAAAACGTGTTGCGTAAAAGCGACGAAGAATAAAAACGTAAACGAACGCGGAAACAAACGATGGAAGAAACGTTTGAAGCGTTCAAATCAAGACTGATCTAAGCTGCGTGTGACTTCCGTCCTCGCAGCCGCAGCACACCATGTAGAACGTGGACATTATAGAGAAAAAAATATGAGGTTTCGGCTGTCGTATAGTAAGTTAAAGTGAAGTATATATGTTAATAATATATTTACGTAGACAACTTTAAAGATGATTGTTTTTGTTTCCGTCAAGGCTGTTCGGATGACGCTCGAACAGAAAGTACGCGGACCGGACGAAAGGCGACCGGAGCTTCACCACCGTGGCGAGGGGGGTCGAAGGAGCCGGATGAGGAGAGGAGCCCGGCGGCGGAGCGAGCGCTGGAGCTGGCGAATGCGGAAGCAGAGGCTGGAGTCAAAACGCAGATCACAGGTAAGCCGTCAAACAACGAAGGGGATTTTTAGACGGGACTGGAGTAGATTAAACGACAACACACAGCGCGCAGACGCGTATTCACAATCATCGGTGCGTTTGGCGTGATTTGTTGGTACGTTAGACCAGCGCAACCCAAACGTTCGTATTTTGCGTCAGGTTGTTGAAATAGCAAATCCATTCGTGCCACTTTGCGGAGCGATGGGTATGCTGGTCCGCAAAGGAGGTGTGTTAAAGCGCCATGGTTGGTTCGTTGCTATTTTGAGGAAGTGAAATTGACCGGGCCGATGACCAACTAAAAGCAGCTGTAAAGTCCAGCGCGGAGCGCGTTATTAAAAACAATAAAACAAAGGAGTAAAATATGGAAAAAAGTATTAAATCTTTGCGCTCAACCAAGGAAATGAAATACGCGGGAAATATACAGGAGTAAAGAGGCTGAACGGAGGAGGCTCGTTCTTTATCCTCGTGCCGCAGATGCTCCGTTTGTTTTCTCGCTAGCGAAGCGTTCAGTTGTTCCACTTACAAAGTCCTCCGTGTAAATGGCAAACGCGTAACGCAACTGACTCTTAAAGGGAACGCGAGATGACACTGCGATTGTTTCAAAGTACGTTATTCTTATCGCTCGTTAAGAGAACAAGCACAATCCTGTTGTATCCAAATAGCAAAAGAGGGTTGGGCGACGCCCTTAACGCTTTTGTGCCAGGCGCTTTAGCGTTTGCGTGTAGATGGCTAAAATAGAGGCCGTGTTTCCTTGATCTTTTCGAAACAGCGGCATGACTCCGCAGTAGCAATTGCGCACTCGATATGTGTCGATTTGCAGTTGACTTGGTCCAAATAGCAAAAATGTCCATTCCGTTCTGACTGCAGTTTGCGGTCGAGTTGATTTTACGGCATGCCGCAACGATCGCTCGATGATCTCAGCAAAAAAGCGAAACTATAAAGGTCGTTGTAATCTGTGCAAATATCGTTTGGTTAAATCAGGGGTCACCAAGCTTTTGTAAACTGAGAGCTACTTATTGGGTACCGATTAGTGTGAAGGGCTTCCAGTTATTAAATAACACATTTTTCTTAATTGACTTTGAATTATATGTTATTATTAATAACGAATAATATTCATCTATGTGAAGACATTGATCATGGTAATGATTTGTCACAGTAGTTGTCAACAATGATTTAACAAGTTAGAAAAATATCAATATGCAACGCTTCATTTGTCTGAAATACTTTTGAAAGTTTTTTTTTTGAAATAACTTAAAGTAATTTTCAAATTGACACCGATGCAAGTGTGATTTAAAAAAAAAAACCTATACAAATATTAGATGCAGCTTACTCATATGTGGTGCTATGGTGAGCTATTTTTAGAACAGACCCGCGGGCAACTCATGTGGGTTAAATGGTACTTTAACCAGGATAGCTATACATGCATTTAGTTGCATGTTTACACACACACACACATTTTTAGTAATGGAATTTGCCGTTGTTGTTGTTGTTGTTGTTGTTGTTGTTGTTGTTGTTGTGTATGAAGGAATGAAAGATGCGATTGTGTTTGTGATGCTCCTCTTGGTCTCGTTTGCCTGCGAGCCCGAGATTTCCTGTTACAGTAAGTCACGTGGAAGTAAAGCTCATTTCTGATTTCAGATTGCAGCGCTGAAGAGTCGTGCGATATACAGCTGTGCTGTAAAGTGTTCATACAAGTTGAAGGATTGGTTAAAATGCGAATAGTTAGAAGGGATCATCCCAAATGCATGTAGTTTGTTTATGTATTTAGTCATATTCTAAGTAAGATATTGTACGTAACAGATATTCACTACACCGAAACGTAGCTGAAATGATGAAAGTAGCCCGCTGCAAAAGTTGACAGTTTTCAGTGGGGCGTGGGGTTTGTCGGTGAAACGCACGCCGCCTGACGCTTAACGTCTCCTGTTTAGCTCGGAGCACGAGTGAGGGTTTAAACCTTTGGAACAGCAGCGTTTCAGTCTCCTAATCGTCTTCAAGATGAAAAGATGAAGCTGGCAATCTCACCGAAGACGCTGTGAAACAGGAGAGCGTGCAGGAGATTGAGGGGTTTTGTGATGAACAGCAGTCAGTTTAACTGTTCAGACTAAACGAGGACATAAATAATCAGCACAAAGCAGAAACACAGTGGCAGACGATCAGGAAATCACGCGCTGTATTGGAAAGCGAGGCTGCACTGAAAGAAGAGAGTAGGGAAATGTAACGCATTTGCTCTTAGATTGTGAAAGTGGTAACATTAAGTGTGAAGGAGAACTAGAATCGTCTCAATAAATGCTTAATGTGTACACAAGTACTTGATGTGATCAATGAAATGAGTTGAAAAAGTTAAACGGTAATATTAATCGATTAGTACTATTAAAATGTTTTGTAACGGTTGTAAACTTAGTAATATGAAATAGGTTTTATTAATGGATATGTCTCAACGGATACAGTTTCCAGCCTGCTTTGCATGGGATTGAATTAAGAGGAGAATATTTTGTGAGTAAAAGCAAGCGTAGATGTTTAAATTGAAGAGAAAGACTTGTTAAAGTTCTGCATCAGTTTGAAGATGAAGAAGAGTTCGGAGCACGTCTTTTAGTTTCCAAGAGGAGAAGCGGTCGGGCTTTTTTATTGTCAGCATTAACGTTGAGGCTTCAGTCATGGAGCCGTGGCTGTGCTAACAGAAGAAGTGAGATCAGTAAGAATTTTCACAGTAAATGAGCCGTTGCGTTCGATTGACTTAAAATAAAGGAATGTAACACATTTTCAGGAAAAATGCACGTCTTTAAGAAAGCAAGTTACACCAAATGACATCCAATGTAGTAATTTGTAAGTAATACGATTATTTAAAAGGATAAAAGCAATGCGGTTTCTGCTAAAGCAAGAAGTTGACATGACCTAGTTCATTGACATAAATATTAAGTCAAAAAAAGTAAAGAGAATGAAAGAAGTTTCACCTCATTGGTTTTGTATGGTTAGGTTAAACGTGAAGTAAATCTGACATGTTATTGAAGTAAGATGAAGTGAAAATGAGTTGAAATGTGTTGGTGCAAAGGGTTAGGAGTGTTTTTGAAGCAAATCTTAAAAGTAATTTATTTTGAGTGCATGTAAAGTGAAGCTGTGGAATAATGGAGCTGGATTTAGTGTAGTGAAGAGTGTGAAAATATTTTATGTACAATAAGTAGTAAATAGGAAAGAAGATGCATTTGGTATGATCTCAGTTGTTTTGTAAAAACGATTCAAGAAATGATTAAAGAAATTATTTAAGGGGTATGTTAACTTTTAGGCACAACTGTGTATGCATATATAACTATATCTGAAAGTGTTGTACTAACCCCACCGCTGCCACCGTATATGTGCGTATGCTGTTATGTGTATATGACTCCTCATTAGTGCAGTGTTTAAAGTGTGCTGTGTGCTTTTCTCTTGCAGCATCATGGGCCTGTACGCCTGCTGTGGTGATCTGGAAGTCCTTCAGCAGTATTTCCCCCTCCATCGTGTTTGAGGAGCTGCCGTGCGTGAACCGATTCCTCAAACTGAGCCTGGTGTGGGAGACGGGAGAGCTGGAGCCGGAGAAGGATCTGTACGACTCGACTGTGGACATGAGAGAACAATAAAGGAGCTGTGCAAGAAGCAAGAGGAAGAAACACAGCAGAGAGACACTGGAGTCTGTGACTTTGACATCACCGGCTCCGTTTTAGGCTTAAGGGTGATCCCGTACTGACACTGATGTGCGATTGTGGATCAACAATCAAGAGGATAACGCGCATTCTGGAAATCTGCTGCTGTTTACTGATGCGTAACGCAGTAGAAATGACACAGACTTGTTTTATTTAGAGCGCGCATGGATTCAAGAATGACATGTTTTCCCTGCAGTTTGAACGATCATTTCAGACATTCGTCTGCAGCATAGTTTTCAGAAACGAACAGTGGGGGAAAGAGTATTTAAAATCGTTCATTCATTCATTCGTTCGTTCGTTCGTTCATCTATTTTCTTTTGGGCTTAGTCCCTTTATTATTCCGTGGTAGCCACAGGGAAATGAACCGCCAACTTATCCAGCATGTGTTTTATGCAGCGGATGCTGTTCCAGGTTGAATAGTGGAAAATCATCCTAAAGTAAAAGTAGCATCACTTGGTTAAAGTAGTTGTGTGAGTAAAAGTATCTGTGGTAAATATTACAGAAAGTACGAGTTAAAGTAGACCTTTTCAAAGTACTGGAGTAGCGAGCATCACGCTGTAAAAGGCTGATGCGTTCACATGTCATTTGTGGATGTGTGTGTGTAAACGTAACATTCTGTAAGGCGTGACATTAGTTATTGCCCAGCAGGCACACAACATCATAAGACATAAACATGAGGTTAGATTTAGTTTGTGATGTGAGGTGAGCAAAATTCAGTGTTAAGCCAGCGTCTATAGTTCAGTGTGTATATTTTTATAGCAACATCCGGTGAGGTTAATTGTAGGTAGTGTTAGAAAAGGTCCCAAAGCCCACATCTTAAAGTAACGTCATATTTATTGGTCAGGTATGATGACCAAAATCCAATGTGTGGTAGACGTCATAGTGGTGTCGTAGTGACATGTCGGCTGTAGCGTGATCAGATGTTGATATTTGGTATGTGGCCGTGACGTCGAGTTGTCGCATGAATTTGATAATCATTTCCAAAGCGTACGCAACGTCCCCGTAGTGCTGGGGTACAGTCAACCTGATGTAATGTCGACATCTTGCTCCTGCTGGGTGTTTAAGAGCATTTGGGTCGTGATACAGTAAACGGCTGTGGTTTAGTCATCAGCGTCATGCAGCGACAGGATTGTTTTTTTCTGATGCGCACAGACGGGAAATAATGACGTATTGACTGCAGGTTGAAGGAAAATAGAGCAGTTTAATTATTGATCCAGCAGTGAAAATGTAGTCAACGGAGAGTAAAAGTGCACATTTGTAAAAGTATTTAGGAAATGACAATTCCTGAGAAAAACTAGTCAACGACAGTAATTTGAGTAACGTGTGACTTTCCAGAACTGATAATGAATGAGTGAACGAACGAACGAATGCACTGAATCAATATTCACTAATACGTTCTCCCCCTTTTTTGAAGGCAGGCAGTGTTCTTGAATTTCCAGCATATAAAAGTGTTTGACTTGATGCATTATTTGCATATTATTTGATGCGTTTGTTAACATGAAAAACAGATTGATTCCAGTGTTGAATGAATGTATCTTGAATGTGTATGTGTGCTTGCAATGCAGGTATGTAGGAGTGTGTGTGTGTGTGTGTGTTTGTGTGTGAGTTACTATACAGTAACTCACACACACACGTATAAACACACACACACACACAAACAAACACACACAAACACTCCTACATACCTGCATTGCAAGCACACATACACATTCAAGATACATTCATTCACATTCACAGTGTGAGTGTGTGTGTGTGTATGTACGATTGATTATGTGTGATGTAATGTGTATGCTTGTTAGGCATGGACCGGTATAAGATCGTGACGTATGATATTCTTGGATAGAAGTATCAGGGTTAAGTTGAGGTCGGTTATCGTCCCATGCCTAATGCTTGTTGGTGTATGTATGAGTGTTTGTATGTACTGTAGCGAGGCAGAGGGAAAACACAAACACAGTTGAGTTGAGTTACAAACAAGTCGCCGGAGGGTGCTTTATTTACAAGTGAAATACGTGAATAAATGGTGCTCTTCATGAGGTGCGTGCTCGAGTGCTCCGGGGAGGTGGTGAAGGATGGTAAGAGGTCTGGTGCTGGATCGTTCACAAGCTGGACTCTGCTGTAGGAGAGACATAAGCGTTAGCGCAGGGAGTCGTGTGTAAATGAAGCTCGTGTCCCTCCTGGGCTGGCTTATATCTCTCCCTGGCTGATGAGGTCCAGCTGTGAGCGATCCGGTGCTGATGAGGTCCAGCTGTGAGCGATCCGGTGCTGATGAGGTTCCAGCTGGGGTGAATTTGTGACAAGGGCGACGTGGCATCAGTGTGCTCGCTACAGTACGTGTGTATGAGTGTTTGTGTATGTACGAATAAATGATTGCATATGTATGGGTGTAAGCTTGTGATTGTATATGCATATGGTTGTGTGTGTGTGTGTGTGTGTGTGTGTGTGTGATGTGCATTTATTTGTGTGTGTATATATATATATATATACATACACACACATATACAGTTGAAGTGTGAATTATTAGTCCTCCTAGTTGTGTATTTTGTTACTCAATTTGTGTTTGACACATTTGTAAGCGTAACAGTTTTAATAAGTCATCCCTAATTTTCTCTTTGTCATGATGACAGTAAATAATTGACTAGATCTTATTGAAGAGGCTTCTATAGAGCTTAAAGTGGCATTTAAAGGCTTTACTGGGTTCATTAGGCAAGTTATTGTATAACGATGGTTTGCTTTGAAGGCTTTCAAAGAAATATATAGCTGAAAGGGGTTAATAATTTGGACTGTAAAAGGTTAAAAAAAAAAAAAAAAAAACATTAAGGAGGTTTTATCCTAGGCAAAAGAAAAGAAATTACAGTTTTTACAGAAAAAAAAAACTAAATAAAATGAGACACTGTGAAAATGTCTTGGTTGTATTAAACATTGTTTGAGGAAATTGTTAAAAAAATGTCAAATAAAAATAAAAGTCAATAATTGGTAATTCTGACTTCAACTGTATATTAGTTATGTGTGTGTGTGTGTGTGTGTGTGTGTGTGTGTGTGTATACAGTATGTATATGCGTGTACACAATCAATATTTTAGTTGATGTAAAGTGACGGTGCGTTGTTAATGAATTGCACAAAGGAAGATTAAATGAACACAATTGAGGAAGAAATGCTGTAGTAGTAGTAGTAGTAGTAGTAGTAGTAGTAGTAGTAGTAGTACAGCAGTAAAAGGAATTAGTTGCTTTAAAAAAAGAAAGTAGACAGGTTAGTGTGTTTGTTTGTCATGATTGAAATGATGGCAAGAAAAGAATTGAAGTTATATTAGGGTAATTGAACCGTTCCAAGTTGTATATTCAGTGCTTTGAGTAGGCAGGCAGTTTTGACAGCGCTCAGCAGTGATATGCATTAGTTTGAAGCGTGTGCTTATAGTGATGTGAATTAAAGCGATGCGCAGTGTTGAAGTGTCGGCGAGAAGGTCCGTTTGACAGGTTTGGTTTTGGCCAAGCATAGAAACAACTGAATATTAGATGATTAGTTTAAAGGCAAACCTGAATCAATATAGACAGTTGAGAGAGGACGATGTAGCATAGATGATTTTGGAAGAGGAACTTTTTATTTGTGTGTTTGAACGCAGGAGCAGTGATCAGAGGAGAACAGTGGAGCGAGGTGTGCGCGTGTGTGTGTTTTTAAGAGAGGTCTCCAGCAGACTGGTCCTCTTGGTCCTTGTCCACCGTCTGAGCAGATGCAGAAGTGCTGGGTGTGCGGGGGTGTTTTTGCTTCTCTTCCTTCAGGCTGTTTAAGGCTGATGGGCAGTTTTGCGTACTGGAGAAAGAAAAGGCAGAGGAGTTAGAGGAGTTGACTACAGTGAGAGAATTATGCACCATGTGTTGTTGTTGTTGTTGTTGTTGTTCTATTATAAGAGGCTTCCCACACTTTACCAACAGCAGATATGAGGAGTGTAAAGCAGCAGTAATTTGAATGGGAGCAGCATGAAAGTTGTGACTTTTCCCTTGGTCATCATTGAGGTCAGAGTGATTTGAAGAAAGTTGGAGTATTTTATGAAGTGATGTTAAAATGCTGTTTGTGAAATAGTGATAAAATGGCCAGTATATATATATAATGGAAACGTGTGTTTTTGAAGGAGGGAATTGAGTTTGTCCATTGGGTTTGTGAGATTTGAGTGCAGATTTTGGAATAAGTCCATAAAAAAAGTTTGATTTGTAGTGTAATGTCAGCATTTTTAAGGAGCCGTGTTTGTTTTGAAGTATTTAGTAGGTGTTGAATGCATATGATTGAATGATGAAGTTGTGAAAGGAAGTGGTATTTTAGATGACATTAGTGAATTAGCAGATTGGTTTGATTTATATTGGTAGAGGTTTTATGTGGGTTCAGTCCTGCACATGATCATGCCAATCAGTGTAAAAGTCAAACAGTTAGCAAAATAATATTTTAAAAGTGTATATATATATATATATATACATTAACATGTGTGTAGTCAGTGTATATAGAAAAGTGTCATATACCTCTGAAATGAAGAGTTCATCAGTCGTAGAGCTTGAAACGAAATGGCATCCCAAAGAAGTTTCCAGCTTTTGATGTGGTCCAGCAGGCTGCTGCTCTGCTGAGTTCATCCTGAAGCAGGGAGGAAAGGCAGAGTTTTCAGAGCGTATGATGATGTTCTGTAGGAACTGTACATAGATGTGTAGGTGTGTAATGTTGTTTGTGTGTATGCATGTATGTATGTATGTATGTATGTATGTATGTATGTTTGATGGCATTTATGACTTGCGTGTGTGTATTTATGTATGTTGTAAGTTTTTGTGTGTTTATGTATGCTCACCTGTGTCATGTATGTGGCCATGTGTACTTATGTACAGAATGAAACATGTAGTTGTTCATATACACATAGACTTACAAACGTACATTCATAGTTCATACATATAGTGTGGTTTGACTCGCAGGCTTATGTTCATCCAAAGACGAATATATGTGTGCGTAAGGGCTAGAAACAGTCATAGTTTTTGATATACTCAGGTATGCATTTACAGTGTTATTTACTTTGTGAGACATATATACAGACCTACATACATATATACCGACACACACATACAGACACACACATACATCTATATATGCATACACACATTGTCATACATTCTTTTATGCCTGCATGCATGCATTTATATACGTAGACATACATGCGCATGTTGATAGATGTGAGTGTTGCAGGTGTAATGTTATTGTTATCAGGATGAGTAATAAACGTGGTGTGTATTTGACAACATAAAGAGTAATGGGTTATTGAAACGGGTGGATTTTAGGAACGGTGCTGCTTCAGAAGTATGACCCGGCTGCATGTTTTCTTCTTTTGAGCATTTAGTTGTTGGTGGGCTTGAGTGCAAAGTTTGCTGTTGAAAACGTCTTAATGAGGTAGGAAAGCAGATGTGATTAGACGGCGTTAAAGACATGACAAAGTGGGTTTTTCTTAGTGGGCTTATGAGCTCTGGAGAAGTGTGGTTTGTACTTTTGTAAGAGAGAAACAGTTGATATTTGTATGGAGTCATTAGAGTTTTGTGGGGGTTTGTGTTGAAAGGTAAAATGGTGGAAGACGGAGATGTTCTTGTTTGTTATTTTTGTAATGGGAGTAGTGTTAATGGGTGGAATCAGTGGCATATATATACACATATATATATATATATATATATATATATATATATATTTGTGTGTGTGTGTGTATAGTAGTAATTTAGAGATTTATATACTCATATGTATGTATTTGTCGATTGAAGAAGGTGGAGAAAATAGTGCATGAATTGTAGTGTGTTGTACTTTGTAAGTGCATTTGAATTTGAGTGGTTGTTGGCTAATAATTGTTAATAAATGTTGTTGTATGGTAGAAGAAAGGCATAGATTTATCAGAGATATGTATTTTATACTTTGGGGGAGAAGTAGTGCTTTTCCAATTGAGAAGTGAACGTGAGCTGTGTCGACGGTCAAGTAGGTAAAGTGATACACGTTTGCAGGCTGTACTAGTAAAAAGATTGGAGTTGTTGGGTAATTAAGACAGACGTTGAATGCTTAATTGTAATATGTGAGTAGAAGCTTAGAATAGAAAGAAGTTGTGATACGAAAGAGGTCAGAACTAGGCGCAATGAGTTTAGAATTGTGGTAGATCCGGTGTAACGATAAAAAGAGTAGAAAAAAAGGTAAATGTGATAGAAGGTGCATGAAATCTTATATATTTATCTATTTATTTTATTGTGCAGTACGTTGGTTAGTTTTTGTAATTAGTCAATGTATGGTAAGCGCGTGTTAATGGTTTGAATCAGTTGCGGCAAAGCAAAAAAAGTGTTATGAGCAATTTCGTTAAAATTGGCAAGAAAAACAATGTTAGATGAAATGAAAGTGAGTTATTTAGGAGTAATGTGGTATTGTTTTTGCTGCTTTTCGTTCTTTGAAATCGTAGGTCAGACGGGTATTTGAGTGTGTGAGCTTTCTTCCGAAAAACGGGTGAGGAAAGGTAAACGCTATGGCTATTTGTAAAATAGTTCTTGGACGGTTCTGTATTTAAAGAAAGGCTTTAGTTTTGCGGGTGGGCTTTGCCAGTCGTTGTAATTTGAAAGAAATATAAGCGAGCATGAATAAATGACAGAGGAAACATGATTTAGGAAATAGTGGTGTATGTTATTGTATGTATGAAATAATGAATTAGTGATAGATTAGTTTTATTTCAGATGTATTCCTTTTGTGTTTGATAGGTGTAATATGTAGTAGCATATTTTTTTGAAATTGGTTTAAGATATGAAAGGAAATGATAAGTGTAGTGGCGATGTCATGCGACGTTTCTGAGGTATGGAATTGCATTAATTGTCATGCATGGATATATATATATATATATATATATATATATATATATATATATATTTGCATTATTTATGTATAGGTGTGAGGTAAAATAATGTAGGTTTTCTCGTGCTATAAGGTTGGGGTTTTGTATGGCTTTAGGGTGTAAAACGATGCAGAAGGATGCGTTTTGTTTAGATGGATTGTTTGAAGAGGATTCGATGTGGCTGATTTTTGTAGGAGTGCAATGTAAAGGTGGAGAATAGGATTTTGAGTGGCGCGGATACCGCTGTTACTGAACATGATCTTTATGGAATGCGCAATTTTGGTTGACGTGCAGTGGATGTGTAAATTGACGGTCATACGTGTAAATAGGGATGCACATTAAAAGTGAGACAGAGTATTAGATGTGTGTATGTTTGGTTATGTTGTTGACGTCAGTTGTTTGTAACGTTATTTATTGTTTATAGCAGCATGAGTTGTATTTGCCATATATTTAGTGTAGTTACAGTTGTGCGCGTATGTTGCGGTCCAGCTGTAAAGAAATGTAAAGATAGTTATAGAAGGTGCTGGACAGAGCGCAAGGATGAGGCAGAGTAGCAAGAGAAGGAAAGAAGGAATAGCATTTGATATAGCATGTGTTCAGTAAGTAGTATTGGGTTGTTGATGTATGCGATTTTGAATTCAGAAAGGTTTTTGGTTGTAAGCTGGAATATGTTCTTAGTCGGTAAATGTTACTGTCATTGAAATTTGAGGAGGATTGTAGCGTCAGTTGAATAGTTACCATATGCATTGTTAGAAGTGTTGTTTTTGTGTTTGTGTGTATTTATATGTATGTTTTTATGTGTGTGTATATATAGTGATATATATCTTTATATATATTGATATTTATGTGTATATATGTATATATATATATATGTATATATATGTATATATATATATTTGTATATATATATTAGTATATATATATGTATGTATATATATATATATACATTTATCCATTGTTGTATGTATGTATGTATGTATGTATGTATGTATGGATTTTCATGTAGGTCCCCAAAAAGGCAGGTAAAAGTAGGTGAGGTTGTTCTTCGATACAAGTTGATTTTTTGTGCGGTTTTGGTGATGTATTCATCGAGGTGAAATGTAAAGATTGTAGATGTGGAGCTGTAGTTAAGCTGCAGCGCGATAAGTCCATGTTATGTACGTGTAATAAAGTGATTATTGCATGCATGTTATGGCTTGGAGTATGTATGATCGACTGTACGTGAGAGCGTTGGGCACGTCAAGTTTATCGTTGACTAGTGCTGTTTGTTGAAGCGCAACGATGAGCGCGTAACGGTGATGAAGAATAAAAGTGATTAGATGGAAGCGACGAAGCCTTTTGGAGTTATTTGATAAGCATAAGAATTACGAAGGAAGGGTGTTTTTGCTGGAATAAAGCATCGATCGGAGCGGTGTGCGGGGGTGGAGTTAGAGGCTTTATTAGAAAGAGTGGCTGCAGCGATTGGTGGAGGGATGCCGTAGGCGTGAGCGAGAGCTGATGAGTCTAGATTGCTTAATTGGAATCAGCAGAGGAACGGGCTGGAGTCCTATCATCCATCAGCCCAGGAGCATAAGAGTAGCGGTCCAGACGCTGGAGCGGAAGCGACAGCGGAAGCGTTCAGCGGAGGTGTTCAGCCCTGCTCGTGTGAAGACATGCGAGGGTAAAGACCTGCGACGACCTGCGCGACTTCTCCTGCGCGACTTACCCGAGCAGACGGACCCGGGGCCCGGTACGCTGGTCGATTCTTTTTGGCCCTTTCTTGTTACTCTTCTCTTTTTTTAAACTGCTCTTCTTTCTCTCTGCAGGAGCAACGCCGGCTTCGGCTGCCTGCCCACAGCTTTCTCTCTACAGCCCACGTCATCCCAACCTACGCTCCGACTAATAAAGTTCTCTTTCCAAAGTGTCTCAGTCCCAAAACAAACACAAACTCACAAAGGTTTTGCCAACTCAGCTTCAACCGGAAGTAAAGGAGAGGGGGAAGGTGAAAGGGCGACAGGGGAAAGGCAGGAGCTGGGGACGACAAGGGAGGAGGGAGGGAACGAAAGGAAAAGGGGAGGGGAAGACCCATGGAGGGAAGGGGAGGGGGAAGACCAAGGGAGGGAGGAGGGGAGGGGGAAGACCGAGGGAGGGAAGGGGAGGGGGAAGACCGAGGGAGGGAAGGGGAGGGGGAAGACCGAGGGAGGGAAGGGGAGGGGGAAGACCAAGGGAGGGAGGAAGGGAGGGGGAAGACCAAGGGAGGGAGGAAGGGAGGGGGAACACCAAGGGAGGGAAAGAGGTAGGGGAACACCACAACAGGGAAGGAGGGAGGGGGCACAACATGGGAGGGAAGGGAGGGGGAAGTACAAGGGAAGGAGGGAGATGCACACCAAGGGAGGGAGGGAGGGAGGGAGGGAGGGAAGGGAAACAACAAGACATGGAGGACAGGGGGAAGACCAGGAAAAGACAATGACAGAAAGAAGGGAGGAGGAAAGTAGGAAGGGACAAGGGAGGGGAAAGAAGGGAGGAGGGAGGGGAAAGAGGGGAGGAAGGAGGGGGGAAAAAACAAAGAGGGAGGAAGAGGAAGGGGGAACACCAAGACAAGGCAGGGAGGGGGGGACAATAAGACAAAGAGAACAGGAAAACCAGGAAAACACAAGGAGTAAAGGAAGGGAGGATGAGATGAAAGAAGGAGGGGGGGGGACGGAGGAACACCAAGACAAGGGGAACACCAAGGGAAAAAGCACAAGGGGAAAACCAGGAAAAGACAAGGAGGCAAGGAAGGGAGGGAGGGAGGGGATAGGGAAAGAAACGACAGGGGAGGACCTAGGGAGGGAAGGGAGATGAAACAATAACAGAAGGAGGAGAAGGAAAAAACCAAGAAACCACAAGGACTGGGGCAGGGGGGGAGGGGCAGGGGAAGGGAGAGAACAACAAATAAGGCATATAAGGAAGGAAGGGAGGGAGAGAGGGAGGGAGACAAGTAAACAAAGAACAACAACAACAGTGAGGGGACAATGGGAGTAACACAATAAGAGGGGAGGTAGTCACACACAAAGGGGAGGGGAAAAAGACAGGAACACAAACACAACAACAACTAGAAGGGAAAGACAGAGAGAAGAACAGGAACACAAGGCAAGCAGAACAGGATGGGAGGGACGGAACCAAAGGCCATGGGAAAGAACAACACCGAGCACACCTATCAACAAAGCTCAATCAAATATACCCAATCATCAAAGAGGTGAGACAAGGAAATGGGACTAAGGACCTCCAAAAACAAAAGAGGAGGAAACAACTCAACAAAAATACCACATCCAAAAGTACAAGTGACAATTCCATCACTGACTGTACACTACACCAAAGGGCCAGCGAGCCACGATCACTGTGGCCGACCGCATAAACCATCCATCCGCCAGCTAAATCTACACCGCTGATCACAAACTCCACACCTAAAGGGCCACAACTCATTACATCGCAATTCCATTTCAACTACACTCTGCCGAACGGAAGCCCTATGTTAACAGTGTCCATACACTTCTCTGCACTGGGATAGACCGTTACACACTGGAAAAATACCATGCTTAAACACACCCTGGGATCCAGACCGTGGAACGACCTTCATCCCAACTGTTACGGCCAACCGCTCCAAGAGCCGCTGTCTGTCAATAAAGATCATGTCATTCTACCTCAATTTAACTGCGTCTTTTAATTGCTCTTTATTTCTTCATTTCACACATCTCTGTTGTCTTTGCTTTCCTTTAAGCGCAATATTCTGTACCGTGCCGTTTACTGCTACACTACAACTCGCAAACATCTCAACGACAGCTGTATTCACGATTGTCCTTAACCGATACTACTTTTACATCACATAAAACTACATTCTTCTGCTTATTATTATTATTATTATTATTATTAGTAGTAGTAGTAGTAGTAGTAGTAGTAGTAGTAGTAGTAGTACTACAAGTAGTAGTACTGTTGTTATTATCATCATCATCATCATCATCTTGTTTATGCAACATAAAAATACCTTTTCAAATAACATTTACTCCTACAAATAAATAAATAAATACGTAAATAAATAAATCAATACTCTATTACAGGGGCGCGGCTACACACCTTCAACTGGGCCACCTGCAAAACCGCAAGCGCCCCTGTAAATGCTTACAAATACCATTTACTTCTACACAACTAGCTAATGCCACAAAAACACACTACTCTCTATGTGCAATCGAACCGACGCCTATCGAACCACTAGACTTTCTTCAAACTGACCATTTGCGCTAAAAACATTCATACCCGCGCGTCTCGCATACCTCTCCAACTTCAAGCTGACACGCCGCTCGTCATGACTTCTAAACGGTCCAAACTATTGTTGATAACTGTCGACACGCACTAAACAAACTATCGATAATACGATGGTCGAATTATTTGCAATAAACGTCGATACATTTTGCCCATAAAGCAAATACGAACTAGCTTCAGTCGCTCTTCAAAATATTTCTCTGACCTGACTTGGATGTAACACAACAAACAACATATCATTCTTCTAACATGTATTTGTCTAATCCACTGTTTACACTATTTACTTTAAAGACAATTCACATTCATACAAACATTTCTTCAATTATCTTACCCTCGCCCGAGTTATGTCATACAAGTCGTCACCTTGGAATTATAGGCTACGTTACTTATAAATACATATATATATATATATATATATATACATACATACATACATACAAATACACAACAAAGATATACATACATATATACATAAATACAGTTTCAATCAAAACTATTCAATACTCTAAACTGCCTAATTAACCTATTTACCCTATTAAGCATTTAAGCTGTATAGAAGTGTCTTCAAAATATTTCCTCAAATATTATTTACTCTCAACATGCTAAAGATAAAATAAATCGCTTATTAGTAATTACTTATTAAAAGTCATATATTTACAATTGTCTTGAAAAAAACCCTAAACAGGGGTACGTTTCCCAAAACCATCCTTAGCCGACTAAGGTCGCGACTTCTGTCGTTAAATATTTCCTTCATTTGCTCTTTGCCAAATCCATCGCTTCAACGAACAACCGCGAACTGCGTCGCAAACTTCAGCGCTTCAAACTACACCTCTTCAGCTGTAGTTACAAACATACTTTCAAGTCCTGGCTGTGTTCTATTCCCACTTAGCCTCCCCTATGCCCTATTCGTTTACAAAATTCTAACGATCAAACTTCTAATTATTCGACATAAAAAAATAAATAAACATTACAGTCTGCTCTCTTGGGTGTCATTTGTTTTCTATCTATTTTTACAGATCAGTAAGTCACCTATTATTTCAAAGCGGAATTTATGTTACTTCTCCAAAACTTGTACTAAAAAATATACATCGTCTAAGTTCAATCTTTTCATTTATAGTCACTTATTTATTAAGCATCTGGACTGTATATGACATGCGCCTGTTGGTTACAAATTTCTGCTGTAGTTTGCATGTGTCAAATTGTACAACTACACCATAAAAAAGATTCTACAATATCCTACTTCATATTATTAATAATAATAAAATATTCTTTAATATTATTGATATTATTGTTAAAGTACCATTTTTTTTACATTTCCTACTAAATCATACATATTACGCTCCATTTTACAATATATATCCTCCTTATTTATTTTTTTCTTTTGATTATTTATATACCCTATGATATTACAATACTGATTTTTTGGGGGGGAAGTGATTTCATCTTTAACAATACAATATCTAATATTCAACTTATCTATAATATGTCTAAAGCGAAAACACACCCTATGTGCCATATCAACACCTGTGCTTCAATTCGTATGGAAAACGACTGCATGTTTTAACAAAACTAATATAAGCCTATTTTAAATGCGTGTGCGTATAAAACAATGTCATTTACACAAATAAATGATAGGGTTCTCCTCTAAAACAACTTGTACACTACTCCACCCCGTTTACAGCATGGTTATGGCCGTTTTACGCTATAATAACGTTGTTCAAGCGATGGATCTGCGAAAGACAAACTACGGCTTTTACGAAACACTCCTCACAACACTCAAAAAGAAATATTCAAAGATGATTCCTTGTATTTACTCAAAAAAACATTTACGTTAAGTGCTTCAAAACTATTTATTTGGCCTGAATTTAAACAAACAAACTAAATTGAACATTATTACACTTAACTTGTTTCTTTAAATTCAAAAAAAATAAATTGTGTGCAATAGTTCTGCATGCGACACTTTTTTTTCAAACCACGCATCCTACATAGTTAAGCCGCCAGTTACGTCGGTTCTAGGGAAACGCACCCCAGCCTTGTTAACCTAATTAAACAACTACATTAAGCTTTTAAATGTCACTTTAAGTTCGATAAAAGTGTCTTAAAATATTCAGTCAAATGTTATTTACTCTCATTATGCCAAACCTAAAATAAATCGCTTCTTACAAATTACTTAATAAAACTGTTCTCTTCAAAAACTCTTCTGTGTATTAAACACAGAGTCAAAATAATCAACAACGCTAATAATTCTCACTTCAACTGTATATAAAGATCTGACAATTCATTGAAGCTGAAAGTAACTTTAATAAAACTACTGCTGCTACTGCTAATAATAATAATAATAATAATAATAATAATAATAATAATAATAATGCCACAAAACATTCAAATCACACTTACTTCAGTTCATTAGCGACAACTCTTGATGCTTTGCCAATGAGCTTCGCTGCTTTCTGAAAACAAAACAAGCAATCAAAACATACTTCATGCCCTTCACATTATAGTCATACAAATACACACAAACAAACAAACACGCTTACACAGATGGATGGATGGATGGATGGATGGATGGAATAATAATTACAAATAACAAACATAATTCAAATGACTTTATTCAACACCCCATGTAGTCCAAACCGCTTCGTTTTGCTTCTCCAAGTTCAACCAACATAAGTCAATTGTTCGTCCTTTCTGCTACTTTTTTTACTTATTCAAAAAGCCTAGCTTATTCTCAGCTCATCTTTTTTACAGACGTTGACTGTGATCTACGTCCTACTCTCACTAGCCTAATATTATTAAAACTATTACTTTTAGTACTTGGCTTCACCCGAAATTCAATTCTAAAATCAAAATATTTTCACGCAAAACCTAACACAACACTGCTGTATTTTCCATTTCATGATCATGCGCTCTGATATACACTACGGTATTTTAGTCTCAGCAATAAACTTATACACTTATGATACAACAAATAACGCGTTGTCTGACCTTGGAAACAGCGATTTTTCAAACAAATATCTGCTCGACCAATATGCTTTCGAAATTATAGTAAGATCAATTTTTACATTCTAATTTTAAGCGTGTTCATTAAAAAAAAATTAATAAATAAATTAACAACATGGCGCTAAACAAACATTACCCTCATTGATTGATTGAATGATTGATTAAACTGTAATCAAAAAAATGATTATTCATTTAAAATACCACCATAACACATTTGCATATATATATTAAAAAAAAAAAAAAATTATATATATATATATATATAAATTGCACATTAACCCCATCAGCAGGGACGGAAGTAACACGAGTGGGCCAAAAGTAACATCAATACAACTCCAATGTGGAAGGCAAAAATAATCTAGGAATGTTAGCAATGTCACATTAACAAGTATAACTTTTAAACCTTATTTACTTTTAAACTGAAAACCTCAGACTGACTCAACTTAACTCACCTTATTTCTATAGCACTTTTACAAACCACAATGATTACCAAAGTGCTGTACAAAAAACACATCACATTTCCTTTTTAGAGGTCACTGAAAACACTTATTTTCTTTAGCTTGTAATCAAGCAAAGACACCTCACTGGTTGGTGCATAATAATTAGCTCGAAAATATACTCAGGGGCCAGGCCGTGGAGGGATTTATAAACATACACACGACTTTAACAATATTGAATTCTAAACAGGATTGGCAGCCAGTGTAGAAAAACTACTACAGGTGTAACGTGTTCTCGTTTTTTGGTGCCTGTTAAAAGCCTAGCAGCTGCGTTCTGGACTAGCTGCAGTCGCGAGAGAGAGGCCTGACTCACACCCGGATACGATGCGTTGCAAAAGTCCTGAAGAGAAGAGATAAAAGCATGAACAACCTTCTCCAAATCACTGAAAGAGAGGACAGACTTCAGCTTGGCAATACATCTTAAATAAAAACAATTATTTTTGACAACCGCATTCATTTGCAGATCAAATTTTTGCTCAGACTCAAAGACTCATTGCAGAGGAATGTATTTTCCCAGGAAGCAATGACAGATTGGCCAAAAACAATGCATCCTCACTTGTCTTCGTTCAGTTGGAGAAAGTTATTTCCTAACCAAAACTTCACATCAGTGAAACAGTTCAACAAAGCCTGAAGGGAGGATTGAAGCCTAAATTTTATAGGGTTAAGTACATTTGACAGTCATCAGCGGAAGTAAGTAAAGGGAGAAAAAAACAGGACCCAGTATTGAGCCCTGCGGAACCCCACACATTAATTGAATGACAGATGAAGAACAGTTGCCCAAACTGACTGATACACATACACAGTTGAAGTCAAAATCATCAGCCCTTCTTTGAATTTTTTTTTTTCTTTTTTAATATTTCCCAAATGATGTTTAACAGAGCAAGGACATTTTCACAGTATGTCTGATAATATTTTCTCTTTTGGAGAAAGTCTTTTTTTTTTATTTAGACTACAATAAAAGCGGTTATCAAATTTTTAAACATTTTAAGAACAATATTATTAGCCCCTTTAAGCTAATTTTTGTTTACATAGTCTACAGAACAAACCATCGTTATACAATAACTTGCCTAATTACCCTAACCTGCCTAGTTAACCCAATTTATCTAGTGAAGCCTTTAAATGTCACTTTAATCTGTATAGAAGTGTCTTGAAGAATATCTAATCTAATATTATTTACTGTCATCATAACAAAAATAAAATAAATCAGTTATTACAAATGAGTTATTAAAACTATTACGTTTATAAATGTGAAAAATAAATTCTTCTCTTCATTAAACAGAAAATGGGAAAAAAAAAAATAAACAGAGGGTCTAATAATTCAAGGGGGCTAATAATTCTGACTTCAACTATATATATATATATATATATATATATATATATATATATATATATATTTTTTTTTTTTTTTCACATTCTTTACTTAAATATTACTTAGCCTAAATAGCCTATCATTTCTCCCCTTAAGCTGCTTTGCTGAATTGTTTTAGTTAAAGCTAGGTAATAATATATGGTGACACTAAAACACACCATAACACGCAGTGACATCGCTGTTTAATGAGCGCATGAGTAGCAGTGTTGTGCCAGCTTTTCCCTTCAGGAACCAACATTCTACCGGCGCAAACAAATTTAAATATTTGCCAATATGAACTTTGGTGGCTAATGACGTCAATGCATTTCATTCAACAAATGTGCAATACTACTCATACTAATCATGCTACTATACTTAACTGTATATGGACAAACTTGGGGGCTAAGAGCCCTCTGACTGACCTCAAAAGTCATTCAATTAAATTTATATTATCAAAATATACACTATACTAATATTTCTTTTATTCTAAATAAACACCACAAACTACTTTTTTCAGTAAAAATGAGCACAAATCCTTCACAAACTTCATTAATATATAGTGCATGCACAAATATTTCATATAATATTTCATGTTCACTACAACCGCACAAACAGCACAAATCGGCCACAAACCAATGACACCAGTTTTGTGCAATTTTGGAACTTTGGAGGAAAATGACTTCACGGTTTACCAAAAATTCGAGTTATGCAACATCTAAACTATGAAAACGTCATCCAACTACAAAAAAGCAGCACAAAGGAACTGTGCCAATTTGACCAACATGCTGTGGAAAGTGATGTCACACTGCTGTCAGACCCCAAATCAGCACAAACGAACGGCACAGGTTTTGGGATTATTATTATGATTATGATTATTTTTTTGACATTTCTTTCTTTTTAGCACATTATGTGTGGCATTAAAATGTCAAGCTTATGACCAGGTGCTAACTTCACGTTAGTAAACTGACATTACTTATCTTGTTATCTGATTCAAATTAAATATAGCAAATACACTTTTTTTTTTTACAAATATATATATATATATATTTTATACACATTTCAACCTTTACGCATTCTCTTTTACTTTCATTTGGTATCGTAAAAAAATAATACTACAATATAATTCATTCAAAATATGTACATACATATTTCAAAACACAGACTACGCATAGAACAATAACCAGTTTCAAAGTTTACTGCCATTTGAAAATGTCAAGGAAGGTATTAAAACTGCAAAAATGTTCTGTTGAACCGTTTTCAAAGGTAAATGTTTGTTTTTTTTTCATTTATTGTTTTTAACATCTTGTAAAGATATCTGTGTTTTTCAACTCAAACCCGTCCCCAAACAAAATTTTCATAAACACATTGACAAAACATTAAAACATAATCATGATGAAAAACTACAAACTCAATACAACCTACAAACTACACTTCAATGTTATTCGGCCCTGAACAGAACCGCACACTTGGCAAATTTATCACTGAAACAATTCAAAGAAAATCAAACCAAATCCTGGACTCCTAAAGAACTGAGAATATGTAAACAGCGTGACAAAAAACAAATAGAGGACGACACCAAAACTACACAAATACCCCCCCCACCCCAATTTGCAACATTAATAAATTCCTTTTTTTTTTTTTTTTTTTCAATGACTCAAAAAACTATATCATCTGATCTTATTATATATTACATTATTAAAACAATCTAGACTTTTTATCAATATTGTAATTGTTGGAATTATCAAATATATTATGTTTGCTTGTTTTTTTTGGCTTATTTATTTCTTATTTACTGCAATTGTTATTTTATTTATTTATTGAAAAATGTCATGCCAATAAAGAAACCTGAACTTCATACAGATATATCTGTACACACTCACTTTGCGCCATGAAAAAGTCTGGATGATGAGTCAAGGAAACATACGAAATGTTGTTTGCGTGCACTACGGCCTCCTGTAGGTACAACTCTCTGCCTGTTCCAGCTACTTTTAAAAGCAGCCGCTGGAAAAAAGAGAACAATACAAAAAATATCATGATCATCGTCATCATCAGAGAGACTGGAGAGTAATTAATCATTTTTCATGTAATAAATCTTAATTTCACCACCATCACATTTCACAAAGAAGCATCAGCATATCACCTTTTCATTTACAGCCAGCCAAAAACCAACTTATGAACGAAAAAAATCAATGAATTACTTAATAAATGATCTAACTACATAATCAATAAATAATGAATAAATCAACAAATTACTTCATAAATAATTTAATAAATACATTAATAAATGGATGAATAAATAAATAAACAACTAAATAAAAAAAGAAACAAACATAAATGGATGAAAGAATGAATAAACAATTGAAAGATTAATAATAGAGGAATGACTCAATGACTGATTAAATAAACAAATTATTACATGAAGGATCCATTGATGCATTCATAAATAACCAAATAAATGGATAGATGAATGAATGAAAAATGCATGAATGAATGAATGAATGAATGAATGAATGAATGAATAAATAAATAAATATATAATTAGATAAATAAAAAAGAAATAATGAATGAACGGATAAACAAATAATAAATGGAAGGAACAAACAAATAATTCATAAATGAATTAACAAATACATACAATTTCAATTTAATGCATGAATAAATTAATAAACAAATTTCAAAATTGACGGATGGATGATGAATAAATAAACAAATAGGTGAATACATAAAAAATACTCATACATCAATAAATAAATTATTTTGAATGAATTATTTTTCAAATTATGTTTAGCAAAGCAAGGACATTTTCACACTTTGTCTGATAATATTTTTTCTTCTGGAGAAAGTTATTTTTTTCCGCTACAATAAAAGCAGTTTTCCATTTTTTCAAACCCATTTTAAGGTCAAAATTATCAGCCCCTTTAAGCTATTTTTTCCTTCAATAGTGGACAGAACAAATCACTGTTATACAATAACTTGCCCCGTTACCCTAACCTGCCTGATGAACCTTTTAACCTAGTTAAGCCTTTAAATGTATAAAAGCGTCTCGAAGAATATCTAGTCAAATATCATTTACTGTCATCATGGCAAATTTTAAATAAATCCCTTATTACAGATGAGTTATTAAAACTATAAATGTGTTGACAACATCTTCTCTCTGTTAAACACAAATTGAGGAAAAAAATCATCAGGGGGGGGGGCTAATAATACAACATAATAATACAACAGTTCTGTCTGGATCTCCAATCTGATTGGCTGATAGCCGTGATATATCTAAGTAATATCAGCATCCGTACAGCCTCTTTCCTCTTTTGTTTATTACTCCGGCCAAATACAGCCAGCAACACACACTACAGTTTGACAAATATTACTGCTGTTACACAACCAAATATACTTTTGAGGCTTTTTTTAGTCGAGAATGCAGCTGTTTACAATGCAACTATGCAGTTTATTTGCAACAATAATGCCTATTTCAAAATATTTACAATTTCTGAGAGACCGCTTAATGACACTTCTATCCACAAGATGGCGACAGAACCGGATAATAAGCCCTTACGCTTAGAAGATTTAACAGTCTGTTTTCTAACTACAGCAGATCAAATCAATATTAAACTGGTGAGCACGCCTGCCAACACTTTTGTTTTTCATGGGAGTATCCCATATTTCAGACCAGTCTCCCGCAAACATCCCTTTTTTATTTCTTTCTAAAAAAAAATCCTGTGATTTCACCCAGCCCCCTTTTATACAAGCGTGTTTATGAACAGTGCTAATCCCAAAAAAAAGACGCTACTCTGAATGCAAAAATCTCAGAAAACACCTTCTGCAGAATGCTAACAAAATAACTTCAAAACAATCAGCTGATCAAACAGTAAGACTTGCATATTCACAATATCAGAAAAAAATTACTAATCCATTTGCAACAAAAGAAATCATATTATCAACATAACATTGATCAAATTAACGAATCGATACACCAAAACCATGTTTGGACTCTGTAAAACATTTCAAAGACTGCAATCGAAACACCACTGCAAGGTGGCACAGCCTGGAGAGATTATTTTACAACTTTATACCGAAAACCACAACGCAGACAGTCCAAAACCAAAACCAAGAGAAGAATACACCGCTTAAATAAGACAATTATACATTACCAAAGCCCATTACGCACGTTTATCTCAACAACAGAAATATCACAACACGTTGAACATCTAAAACTGAACAAGGTTTGTGGACAGGACAACATCAGCAATCAAATGCTCAAACTCAGCAGTCCCAACATCATACAGGCCTTGGCCAAACTATTCAACCTGATCCCGTCCTCCGGTGACGTCCCTGAGACGTGGTCTGAAGGACTGATCGCACCTATTTATGAAAACAGAGATAAATTCAACCCCGATAATTACAGTGGCACTTCTGTTGGTGACTTAACAAAACTCTTTTGTTAATAACAGCCGCAAAGTGACATTCCTCACAAAACAGAACATCCTAAACATATCGCAAATTGGCTTTTTACCAAAACAACACACATCTGACCGTATCTACTCCCTTCACGCTTTAATAAATAAAAAAAGAAAAGACAAACAAACTAAAAGATTTTCTCGTTTCCATTCTATTCGGCATGATGGACTATTATACAAATTGTCGCATCGGTGGGAACATATTTACCATTATAAAAGCCATGTATAAGAAAAGAGGCTGCAGCCCGAGCCCGACCCTGTTTAACATCTACATTATTGATCTGCCACACATTCTGGACGGCACCGACTGCGTCCCCAGCCTCGCTCTGCTCGACTCTGAAGTAAAGCGCCTGCTGTATGCGAATGACCTGCTGCTGCTGCTGTCTCCCACAACAGAGGGTCTCCAGCACGGCCTGACCCTGCTGGAGCAGTACTGTGAGGAATGGGCACTGACGGTCAACCTGGAAAAGACCACAGTCATGGTGTTCCAGTAAAAAGCCAGATCTCAGGGACGCGAATATAAGTTCCCCTACAGAACAGAAGCTCCAGAACACTGTAGCAGATACTCTTATCTGGGCATCCACATCTCCACCTGCGGGAGCTTCTGTCTCGCTGTCAAGACCCTGAGCGAGAGGCTCACAGAGCGTTCCATGACATAAAGTCCCGCTTTGGCCAATTACACATACCAGCTAAAACATGGATTTCAACTATATCTCGCTATTATCAAACAGATCCTACTGTATGGAAGTGACATTTGAGGACCAGTATGACCATTACAAAATTGGAATATCGGTTTCATCGAACGGACAAAATTACAATTAGCTAAAAACATATTACATATCCACAGAAACACATCTGACATTGTCTGCAGGGCTGAACTGGGCTTATACCCACTGAACTTGGACATTCAGAACCCGTCCTCAAACAAAACCTTCACAAACACATTGACAAAACATCAAAACATAATCATGATCCAAAACTACAAACTCAATTCAACCTACAAACTACACTTCTGTTTACGCCCTGAACAGAACCGCACACTTGCCTGATTATTTATCATTAAAACAATTTAAAAAAAAGCACATTCTTCCTAAATATCGCCTCTGTGTTCATGAGTCATGACCTACAAATAAAAAAGGCCACACATAAAAACAAACCAAATCCTGGACTCCTAAACAGCTGAGAATATGTAAACAGTGTGACACCAATCAAATAGAGGACGACACCAAAAATTACATTTGAAACATTAATTCATTCATTTTTCCTTTTAAATGACTCATTTATTAATATGTATTATTGTTTTTTTTTTGTTTTTTTTGCATTTGGTTTATTCCTTATTTACTGTATTGTATTTTTTCTTTATTCCATGCTGTTAATAAATTTAAGTGTTAAATATGTACATATTAAAAAAAAACTTTTGTCAATACTGTAATAAATGTCAAGCCAATAAAGCAACTTAAACTTGATACACATATATACACACTGATACACACTAAAAAAGTCTAGACAATGAGTCAAGGAAAGATACGAACTGTTCTTTGCGTGCACTACGGCCTCCTGTAGACACACCTCTTTGCCAGTTCCAGCTACTTTTAAAGGCAGCCGCTGGAAAAAAGAGAACAATAAAAACAAATAAAAAATCATCATCAGAGAATGGAGAGTTATTATTCAGCTTTCATTTAATAAATATCAATTTCATCACCATCACATTTCACAAAGAACCATACAGCAATCCGCAAATCACTTTTTCATTTACAGCCAGCCAGCCAGCCAACCAATGAATGAAAAAAATCAATGAATCAATAAATTACTTTTTAAATTAACTAATAAATAAATAAATTCATTAATTCATACAATGGATAAATAAACAAATTAGAGAATAAATAAATAAATAAATGGATAGATGAATAAATAAATAAGCACATAAATAGATGATGATTAAACAAACGAAAGATTAATAAATGGAGGAATGAATACAACAATGACTGATTAAATAAACAAATGATTACAAAAAGAATCAATTAATACATTCAAAAACAAACAAATAAATGGATAAATGGATGGATGAATGAATAAAGAACGAATTAGTGAATAAATAAATAAAAATATTCATACATAAATAATAATTGGATGAAGGAATTAATGAATAAATTAATAAATTAATTAATTAATTACTTATTAAATGAATTAACTAATAAATTAATTAATTCATTTAATTACTAAACAAATTAGTGAATGAATAAATAAATAAATAAATAAATAGATGAATAAATAAATAAATAAATAAACAGATAATAAATGGAAGGAATAAACACATGAATTAATAAATAAATTAATAAATAATTCAGTTACTGCATAAAAAAACTAACAAATTCATAAATGAACGGATGGATGGATATATAGATGGATGAATGAATAAAGAATGAAGAAATAAAAAATACTCATACATGAAGAAATACATAATGAATGAATGAATAAATAAATGAATTAACTAATAAATAAATAAATATTTTTTATTCATTCTTTCCTTTCTTTATTCATTAATAAAATGAATAAACAAATTAGTGAATAAAGAAATAGATGGATGAATAAATAAATAAACAAATAAATAAATGGATGGATGAATAAACAAATAAAAGATTGATAAATGGAAGAATGAATACAACAATGACTGATTAAATAAACAAATTAATACACAAAGGATCAATTCATACATTCACAAAAAAAATAACAAATAAATGGATGAATGGAAGAATGAATGAATGAATGAATGAATAACTAAATAAATGAACAAATAATAAATGGAAGGAATAAACAAATTAATGAATAAATGAATTGAGAAATCAATAAAAAAATCAAATACATGCAGAAATAAATTAATTAACAAGTGAATAAATTGACAGATAAATGAATCAATCAATCAATAAATAAACAAACAAATAAGTGAATAAATAAAAAATGCTCACACATGAATAAATAAAAGAAAGAATGAGTAAATAAAACTGTGGTCTGTAAAGCTCTCCTACATGTGTATGTACATGTACAAGAAAGAGGGGGATACACACACACACACACACACACACACACACTGTGCTAAAACTAACAACAACAACAAACCTAAACCTTCGTGTATATAGAGAGTGTTTAAAGTGTTTTCTTACCTGCTATGGCATATTCTGAAGGCTGCACTGTCATAATCAGACTTCCACTTCATAAAACTCATCCTGCATGTAATAAGACAAAAATACATGTTTACTGTTCATCCTGGGAAGGCTAAAGCAGGCAATACATTAAAAAACAAGGGTTAACACTGACATTTCACACGCCTGTACGTTATTAAAGTGTTTATAATTTGATATTCTTCCAAAAATAAACATTAATTTGGAGTAAATGTGCGGTAATGTTAATTTACAAACACTACACTAAACATTCAAGCGCTTTACTTACTATTTCTCCGCCCTGGCGATGTGCTCGTGAGCTTCGCCGATTTTCTGCGCCATTATTTGAACATGTAAGTGATTATTACTGTAAATCATGTTTGTTTGTTTGTTTGTTGCTCACACGCTGGATGTGCTGTCAGCTGATGAGGCGAACGTTTACTTCCGGGTTCTACGTCATTTGCGTAAACTTGTACAGTACGTCACGTTATCGTCTGTCCTTCGGCTTTTTCATAAATAAGTCATTATTTAATCCTCTTCCATGTTAAAACAGGTTTGTACTCTCTTTTATTTCTTTATTCTATAACACTGTTAAAAGACTAACAGTCTAACACAAATCTAAGCTTTGTTATTTATCCATTATTTTTGCCGTCTTTTTTATTACATGTTTTATTATAATAACATTTTAGCAATCCAAAAATATACATATGTAATAATCAAATGAATGCATTTTACAATTCACAAAGTTCTAAAGCGTGTAGAGCTTTCTTATTTAGAGTCTCTGATATACTAATATATAGGCATAATTCAGACATCGATATCTTAAAACTCAGTTTCTTACTACATTTAAATTTATGAATGTAAAATTTTGTTAGCAAAATAATTCATCACATAAAAACAATATTCCTCTTGACTACATAAAGCCAAAAAGTACATATCCCACAACAGTAAAACAGGTTTACAGCACTGAAGATTGTTATTGATTCATTTTTCCACCTCGCCCCATAAATTAAGTATGAACAATGCAAAAACAAGTGTATGTCTCCTCATATTCATTACAACAAACGCAAGTCACATCAATTCCTTATTCACAGTTTTGTAAATAGCGTTTTGCTGGAACAAATCGGTGAAGAACTTTATAGGACACTTTAATTTCATTTCTAACAAGACATTTCTATAGTAAGAGCCAGACTTTTCTCCAGCAAATCAGTTCACCCTTTAATAAAGGCATCCAATAACATTGAATATAATGAACAGTGATGATTTCTCTTTGGAAAAGGGTATGAATAGCTCTATTATTATTCTTGCTATTTACAGTAAAACAACTTTTGCCAACGTAAGATTTATTAAAATCAAAAGAAGATGATTTAGAAGCGCGCTCTTCATTATTATTATATATATATATACATACATACATACATTATAAATATATATGGACACCTGAAGGGACTGAACTAATAACAGTTGAAAACTCTTGTTGGCTATTTGAGGTAAATTTTGTTGTAAAACCAAAAAAAAAAAAAAAGACAAAGATTAAATGAGCTTAAATAAATATTCACCGTGTTGTGGAATTCCCACTTTAACTATGTCATGCATGTTTATTAAAGCGCTATATTTTAGAATTGCCAGTAGTAATAGTAGTAGTAGCAGTAGAGGTCTCTGGCATTGAACGTTTAATGTATAAGCCTGGAATAAATATAACTCTGTTCATCATGGAAATGCATTTTAAAATACAACACTACTTTCAGTTTAGGTGTCAAAATAAACTACAGAATACAGCAGCCACAACATGCATCAAAATAAAATATATTCATTCATTTACTTATTCATTCAATCTTTTTTCAAATCTATTTATTCTATTTTCGGCTTAGTCCCTTTATTAATCTGGGGTCAACGCAGCGGAATGAACCGCCAACTTATCCAGCATATGTTTTTTGCAGCGGATGCCCTTTCGGCTGCAACCCATCACTGTGAATGATCTCATAATGTGTTTGGACTTGTGGGGGAAACCGGAACATATGGAGGAAACCCACGCCAACACGGGGAGAACATGCGAACTCCACACAGAAATGCCAACTGACCCAGCCGAGGCTCGAACCAGCAACCTTCTTGCTGCGCTGCATTGTGAATTTGCTTTACAAGAAACAAAAAGGAACTTGGATAAATGAATTAATAAATGAATGAATGAATGAATAAACAAATAAATAAATATTCAAATAGAAGGAATAAACAAATAAATGAACGAATACATAAATAAAACACACAAATAAATAAATGACAGAATGAATGAATAAATAAACAAATATATTCATAGATTAATGAATAAAAGAATGAAGAAATCAATAAATAAATGAGTAAATACAATGAATTAATCAAATAATTAATAAATACATAAGTGGATGAAATAATAAATTAATGATTAAATAACAAATGTATGAATAAAGAATAAACGAATGACTTAATTAATCAATTCATAAATAAACTAATAAACTTACTTGACAAATGGATGAATGAATAAACAAATGCACAAACAAATGCACAAATAAATAAATATATGGATGAATGAATGAATTAATAAATTAATGAGTAAATAAAAAAATAAATAAAAATATAAATGGAAGAAGAAACAAACAATGGAATGACTGAATAAATAAATAAACAAACAAATAAATGAATAAGGGAATAAATAAAGAAATATATTCACAGATGAATGAATAAATAAGTCAATAAATAAATGAATAAATGAATACATAAATAAATGGATAAATGAATAAAACAATGAACAAATTTATAATTGGATCAATGAATTAATAAATGAATGAACGAATGATTAAAGGAAAAATTAATTAATTAATTTATAAATAAACTAACAAATAATTGGATTAATTAATGAACAAATAAATAAAAATATGAATTGAAGGACTGAACAAATGAATGATTAAATAAATAAATAAATAAAACAATATGTAAATAAACTAATATAATCATACATGAACGAATAAAAGAATGAATGAAAAAATGAATGAATGAATAGATAAATAAATTTGTGGATAAATAACTGGATGGATGAATGAATAAATAACATTTAATGAATAAAAGAAAAACTAATTAATGAATGACTAAATTAATTAATAAAAAAGTGAATGAAAAACTACATAATCAATTAATGAATTCATCTATGTAGTGAAGTTTTGTGTATATCTACAGCTTCTTTCAATTTCCTGTAACTATTTTCTCAATATGTGATGATTTCTAATTTATTTGATCTCTTATTTTCTACATATTACATTTATTCTTCTTCATACTTCTTTTTTTATGGGTCTCAGGCGGTCGAATGAGCATTTCTCTGCATAGTCTACTGTCTTTGTGACTAATCAAATGTGCATTGTGAATTTGCTTTAAAAGAACAAAAAGCAACTTCACTATCGATATATCAAAGCCACACACCTCTTATGTGTCTGTCCGCACCTTTAACGCAAAAACACACTTGCCTGACGTCATTCATCTACGGCCCAGAATGATCAAAGATTTATAGCGAGCGTGAAGGGAACGAGCACATTTAACTCCAACTCACAGTAATGCAGACAGATGTTGGTGATGCGCACACTGGCATGCTCCTCCAGATCAGCATCAAAAGCTGACATTGCAGAGGAGTTGAGCTAACCTCATCCTGATGCCGAGTCCAATTACACGCTCGATCGTAAAACATCCTCCATGACACTATCCGGCGTATATCAAACAGACGTGTCGTCACATCGTTTGGGCTTCTCCAAAACCGCTAAACACAGGCTTTGATGAAGGTGACGCACCCGAGATCTCTCAACGCCTGAAACATGCTTATTAAACACATGCAGCACCGCAGAACATGAAAGACATCGGAGGAGGTGTTTTCTGCTTTAATAGCTGATGTCAGATCAGTGTTTCTGTCATTCAGGCACCTGCACTGGTCATGCTTTTACATCACCGCTCAGATGAATCAGGAACAGCTTCTTTTGGAAAGCTCTGCTGGGTTCCTAATGAAACCTGTACAAGAGTTGATTCATGCAGTGAATCATGAGTCGCTAATGAGGGTCAGTGAGATTGAAAGAAAGTTTAAAGGCCACATGGAGTTAAGTTTATATAACACTCATTTACTGATTAGTCATTTAACTCAGACAGGGGTCTCTGATTCTGAATAATGTAAGGCTATGAAATTAGAGGTTGCAGAAGTTGTTCAGATTTTTGGACCAACTGACCATCCATTGTTCTATCTATCTATCTATCTATCTATCTATCTATCTATCTATCTATCTATCTATCTATCTATCTATCTATCTATCTATCTATCTATCTATCTATCTATCTATCTATCTATCTATCTGTCTGTCTGTCTGTCTGTCTGTCTGTCTGTCTGTCTGTCTGTCTGTCTGTCTGTCTGTCTGTCTGTCTGTCTGTCTGTCTGTATATATATCTATCTGTCTCTCTGTCTATCTATCTATCTATCTATCTATCTATCTATCTATCTATCTATCTATCTATCTGTCTCTCTGTCTATCTATCTATCTATCTATCTATCTATCTATCTATCTATCTATCTATCTATCTATCTATCTATCTATCTATCTATCTATCTATCTGTCTGTCTGTCTGTTTGTCTGTCTGTCTGTCTGTCTGTCTGTCTGTCTGTCTGTCTGTCTGTCTGTCTGTCTGTCTCTCTGTCTATCTATCTATCTATCTATCTATCTATCTATCTATCTATCTATCTATCTATCTATCTATCTATCTATCTATCTATCTATCTATCTATCTATCTGTCTGTCTGTCTGTCTGTCTGTCTATCTATCTTTGTCTGCCTGCCTGCCTGTCTATCATAAATATGACAGATCTATCATCCCAGGGTTTTGAAAGGTTTATGGATTATGCTAAAAAACATGCTATCTGTCTATCCTTCTGTCTGTCTGTCTATCTATCTTCCATCCATCCATCCGTCTCTGTCTGTCTGTCTGTCTGTCTGCCTGCCTGCCTATCATAAATTTGACGGATCTGTCATCCCAGGGTTTTGAAAGGTTTATGGATTATGAAGTCTCTTATGCTCATCGGTTACTCATTTATTTGATCAAAAATGCATTAAATCACCAACATGGTCAATTATTATTACATTTTTGTTAGGTTTTCTGTTTTTGTTTTAAAATGTAATACATTTTAGGCACCTAAAGTTAAATTTTCATCTACCGTTATTATCAATGTTGAAATTGTAATGTTTTAATAGAGACCCTGTTTCATTTTCTCTAGGATTTTCAGATGCTTCAGAATCAATATTCATATAGAACTGTCATTAGAATCATTTGATGATGTAATCATAATTTCAGAAAGTAAATGTTCAAAAAAACAGTATTTTCTTTTACTAATGATAAATTTTTCACTTTTAAGATTCAATCAATACAGATATGCACACACACTAACTATTATACACAAAGATTATTTCTATAAATAATGTTTATAAGTTTATATAGGCTGCATAAGAAGTAATTTTATTCTTTAAATCAGGGGTGTCCAAACATTTTCGTATGAAGGACCAAAAACCAAACGATAGCCCTTGGCCAAAGGTAAATGTACCAAACAATTTTACATGCTATGGGTAATTTCCTAATTCATTCATTCA